AAAGAACGGTCAGGTGGATCAAAGCAATCATAGAATGGATCCCACTTGATTAAAAGCATCCACAAAAGAGACCCAAATTAAGATGGATTGATGACATTAGCAGGTATTGTGGGCCCAATTGGCAAAAGAAACTTCAAAAGCAAATCAAGGAGTTCAGGGAGCAAAAGATCCAGGTAATTAGTCCACAATGCCAAAAGGAATGCAAGGACTCTTGGCAAGTTCACATGTTGGCACGCAACACTTCAGGAACTCAGCATTTGTTTCTGACAAATGTCCCTCCCCACAGTGTCTCCTTAAGTCTCATTCCCCAGGTGTGCCTGGTGAAGATGGGCATGGCACTCTCCTCATGAGTAGCCTGCTCCATCTGCGCTAATCTTCTCTACACTCTACACTCTCTGAGCCCTTGCATCAGGAGAGAGTGGTTTTTGCTCCTTGTCTGAGCTGTCTCTCATGTTCATCTTGCTTCTGTTCCTCCCTGTCTGCAGGCCTTACTAATTCTGAAAAACTTTGCCTGGACTGACTCTGCCCTTCCCCAGTTTCCTCCAAGGCCGATGGAGTTGCCCTCTCAACTGCTGTCAGTTCTTGTTTTATTTATTTATTTATTTATTTTGTCAAGCGATTATAAGATAACAGGTGTACGTATAAACATAGTTATGAATACATGAAATGGATACATATAAGAAAAATAAAAAAGAAACAATAGGACAGAGACGGAAGGCATGTTGGTGCGCTTATGCATGCCCCCTGCAGACCTCTTAGGAAAGGGGTGAGGTCAATAGTAGACAGTCTAAGGTTAAAGTTTTTGGGGAGTCAGGTAGAGTATTCCAGACATTGACCACTCTGTTGCTGAAATCGTATTTCCTGCAATCAAGTTTGGTGCGGTTTACCTTGAGTTTGCATCTATTGTGTGCTCTTGTATTGTTATGGTTGAAGCTGAAGTATTCATTGACAGGTAGGACATTGCAATGTATGATTTTATATACTATACTTAGAATGGACCAAAGGTGGTGTAGTTCTAGGTCTAGAATTTCAAGTCTGGTGGGATAAGGTATTCTGCAACGAGTAGAGGAGTGGAGAACTCTTCTTGTGAAATATTTCTGGATTTTCTCAACTGTTAATGTCAGATACATAATGTGGATTTCAGACTGATGAGCTGTATTCAAGTATTGGTCTAGCAAATGTTTTATATGCTCTAGTTAGTAGTGTGATATTACCAGAGAAAAAGCTACATAGGATTAGGTTAACAACTCTTAATGCCTTTTTGGCTATGTAGTTACAGTGGGCTCTAGCACTTAGATCATTAGGGATGAGTATTCCAAGGTCCTCTACAGAGCTTGGCTCGTCAACATCTTGACTATTCAGTCTGTATTTTATTTTCTGATATTTTTTTTGCCAATATGTAGGACAGAGCATTTATTTGTTGAGATTTGAAGTTGCCATTTGTTTGACCATTCTGATACATAGTCGAGGTCTTTTTGGAGGGTAGCAGTATTGTCTGTGGTATTGAACAGTTTTACATCATCAGCAAAGAGAACACAGTTGCTCTTAATATGATCACAGAGATCATTTATGTGGAGTATGAAAAGAGTTGGTCCTAGAACACTGCCTTGGGGACACCACTGTTGACAGGTACAGAATTTGATAGGACACTCCCAATTTTGACCATTTGTTGTCTGTTTGACAGGAATGCTTCTATCCAGTCATGCAGGTGTCCAGAGAAACCGTAAGATTTTAGTTTTATGAGTAGTTTGTCGTGTACCACTGAATCAAAGGCTTTACAGAAGTCTATGTAGATTGCGTCTATTGCTTTGCCCTGATCGAGTTGTGTAGTCCATATGTTTTTGCAGTGTAAGAGTTGCAGATTACAGGATAGTTTTTTTCTGAAACCAAATTGTTTATTAGAGAGTAGGTTGTTTGTCTCTAGGTGGAGGATAATGGATTGGTTAATAATTGATTCCATGACTTTATAGGTGATGCAGCATAAAGAGATTAATTTGTAATTTTCAACTAGGCTGTGGTCTCCCTTTTTGAAGATGGGGATGACCATGGCTTGTTGACCATAGGTTTGGCAAGGAGCTGGTCCTGAAAGATTTTTCAAAGATTATGCTTAGAGATTTGGCTATGGCAGTGGATAGCTTTTTAAAGATGGTTTTAGATTGCGTAGTGCTTTTTCAACATTGTCTTATGTAAAATCGATATGTATTAGATCATTGTAGTTGTCTGTGGTTCGACTAGGAAATACTGGGCATGATCCATTGCTGTTTACAAACACTGAGCCAAAGAATGTGTTAAAGAGGTTGGCTTTAATGGTGTCATAATTGCAGTCTTTACCATTAGGTCCTTTCAGGGGTGGGATGGACTTTGAGTCTTTTAGTTACAACCACAATCGAGCCCCAAATTTATATTGCTAAGTGAAACTTTTGTTAAGTGAGTGTGCCCTATTTTACGATTTTTCTTGCTGCATTTGTTAAGTGAATCACTGCAGTTATTAGTTGAATTGAATTGAATTTTTTATTTTCATTGTATGTATATAAACAGTATACATATAATGAAATTCACACATACATGACAATCCCCAAACACCTCCCCACCCGCCAAAATTCCCCACCTCCTAAAAACCCACAAGCATCCACACAACAGGCCAAGTAATACTGTCCAACAGCACACTGATTGTGGTTCTTAAGTTCATTGTGCAATTATAGCTCTGGGATAAAAACTATTTAGAAAACGTGTGGCCCGAGTTTGAATAGTTCTGTATCTTCTGCCAAAAGGCAACAGTTCACAAAGATTGTGAGCAGGATGGGAAGAGTCTCTGAGAATGTTGTGCAACTTCCTCAGCGAGATGCGAAGATGTCATCCAGGGCTTGTAGCTGGAGCCCAGTGATATTCTGGGCAGTTTTAATGATTCTCTGTAGAGCTTTTTTGTCCAGTACAGAGCTGCTCCCATACCATACAAGAATGCCATATGTCAGGACACTCTCAATGGTGCTGCAGTAGTCAGACAGGAGTAGATGCTGAGATAAATGTATCTTCCTGAGCATTCTCAGGAAGTACAACCTCTTTTGTGCCTTCTTTACAAGCATGTTAGCATTCATAGTCCATGAGAGGTCCTCCAAAATATAAGTGCCTGGAAATTTAAACTACCAACCCTCTCCACCTCCTCACCATTTATGTACAATGGTAAATGTAATCCCTCTTCCTCCTAAAGTCAATTATAAGTTCTTTAGTTTTTTGGGTGTTAAGTGTAAGATTATCTTCTTTACACCACTGTGTCAGCCCTTGTACTTCCTTTCTATAAGCACACTTATTGTTCTTATTAATGAGCCCCACCATTGTTGTGTCATCCGCAAATTTAATAATTGTGTTGGTGTTATACAATGGGGTGCAGTCATGTGTGTACAAAAAATAAAGGAAGGGGCTTAGTACACAACCCTACTCTGCTTAGTATCAGAGTAGAAGAATGGTGAGATCCCATCCTTACTGACTGTGGCCTACCTGTCAGAAAATCCTTTATCCACAAACAAATCTTTTAGTAATATAGTTATTAAATGAATCCGGCTTCCCCGTTGACTTTCCTTGTCAGAAGGTCACAAAAGGGGATCATGTGACCCCAGGACACCACAACTGTCATAAATATGAATCAGTTGTCAAGCACCTGAATTTTGACCACATGACCATGGGGATGCTGCAATGGTCATAAATGTGAAAAATGGACGTAAGTCACTTTTTTCAGTGCTGTTGTAACTTTGAATGATCATTAAATGAACTGTTGTAAGTTGAAGACTACCTGTACCTGTATATGTTTTTAATCCATCATATCTGATTGTTTGGGAGATCTTTATTGATTTTGGATCCTTTTTTTAGATTTACCATGGATGTTCTATTTTCCATATATCTTGTAAATCACTGAACACTGTTTGAGCAGGGCAGGATAGAAATGTAATACATTAAATCACAAAAGCAATTTAAAAAATAAAAACAATTACCATATTGAAAGAATTGCACCCACTCTCTCTCTCTGTACATGAGGAAATATTTTAAATACTTTTTGTTTATTTATTTCATACACAATGAACAATCTTTATCTTTAAAAATTTAGAGGAGAGACACCTTGGAAAAGAAAAAGGAGAAAAATATTTTCTCTTATATTTTATACTTCTCAGTAGTCCCAACTGTTTTTTAAAAAAACAATTGACTAAAAGTAAACTCCTTGCAAAAATGGTTTGAACTAAGGACTGTTCAAGTTTGAAACTAAAATTGGCACAATCATCCATCTCTAGTATGCAGTGGGAATTCTGAAATTGCCATTATCCAAGTTAATCTTCCAAAGGTAGCATTATATGAATTCAAATAGTGCTTCTTATACTAAAAAGGACCCTCAGCTTCTGCAAGTAAATAATAATGCTATGCAGAGAAGCTGTGAAATATGACAGAAGTTGTCAGTCTGGGCCTGTGAGTATGAAAAGGCAGGTGAGAACTAGATTGCTGTTTTCTATGATAAGTCTAAACTCTGCAGAAATCCTGAATATATCTGCAGGTTCAAATGATGTTTAAGTTCCCTACTGCTGTATGCTCATTTCTTGCTTTGGCTATTCATGATTGTAAGAAGAGCATGATACATTTTCTGAGGATGAAAAAGAAGAACACCAGTGTCTGTTTTTAGATGCTATTTAATTGCCATATTCTTCCAATCAACTAGCACTGCAAGATTGCAAAATGGGTGTCAGGATTCTGGCAGTTACTCCAATTAAATCATGAGCCTCGAGCCACACTCCCAAAACTAAAAAGGATTTATTTGAAGTTAGCATTCTACATCCAGCATTAACCTGAGTGTAGCCAACTCTGAGATACGTAATTCACTGTCACCCTTGATCCTGCTTCTCTGCCCCCCTCTGGGTGTATCATTCAACGGAAAAAAAAAATGTCCATAGCCAAGAGTCATCATCAATCATACTCTCCAATTAGTTTTTTGTGCAGCAGAAGCTTCAGTCATCTAATCAGTCTTTGGAGAAAATATGAATGGAATGTACTTTCGATCCCCCATGACTTCCTGCTCTTTGAAACCCCCCCACCTTCTTTCTGTTGTCAACTATTAAACGTGTATACAAAATGTTTTATGAGTTGACAATAGGAGAGGAACAATCTCAGTTTCATTATGGATAGATAGATGACAGAAGATAGAGAGATAGGAAAATAAGCGTCCTCCTCTTTTTTGTGGCAGACCCTCAAATATTGGAAGTACTGTTCTCATATCACCCCAGTCCTTCTTTTCACTAGACTAGCCATATCCAATTATTGCAAAGATAGGTAGACAAACAGACAGACAAATAATGATAGGTAACAAAGAGAGAGAGAGAGAGAGACAAACATAAATAGTTTGTTGTTTGTCAAACATGTATAAGAGAGCAAGTACAGTGGAACCTTGGGTCACAAAAGCTTCTGTCCATGACCAAATCAGGTGACAACCAGAATTTTCCAAAAAGTTTTGCTTCTGGCCATGAACACATCTTTGGGTGGTGACCAGACAAAGCAGCGGCAATTTTCCCGGCCATGGCAATTTCCACTTTGGCACCATTTTTTTTTTTGTCTGTGTATGTGCAGACGATCGTGCTTCTAGTTACGAACAAATCAGGTTGTGGATCGAAGTCAGGAACAGATTACGGTCACGACCTGAGGTTCCACTCTATAGGTATGAACATAAACAAAGAAAGTAAGTACAGATAAATGGGGATAGTAAGATAGGGATGGTAGGCATGCTGGTGCGCTTATGCATGCCCCCTTTATGAATCACTTAGGAATGGGGTGAGGTCCATGGTAGACAGTTTGAAGTTGAAGCTGTGAGGGTTTGAGGCTGTAACAATGGAGTCAGGTAGAACATTCCAGGCATTGACCACTCTGTTGCTAAGTCGTATTTTCTGCAATTGAGTTTGAAGTGGTTTACCTTGAGTTTGTATCTATTGTTTGCCAATGTATTATTGTAGTTGAAGCTGAAGAGATTGTAAAACATTATAGCAGACTATTTTATGTACTATGCTTAGATCAGACCACAGGTGGCACAGTTCCAGATTGTCCAAACCCAGAATTTCAAGCCTAGTGGCATAAGGGATTCTATTGTGAGTAGAGGAGCAGAGAGCTATTCTCATGAAAGACCTCTGGACCTGCTCAATTGTGTTAATGTTCGAAATACAGTGTGGATTCCAGGTAGATGAGCTGTATTCAAGAATTGGTCTGGCAAAGGTTTTGTACGCCTAGTTATCAATGCAATGTTACCAGAGAAGAAGCTTTGCAAGATTAGGTTAACAACTCTTAATGCCTTTTTGGCAATGCTGTTACAGTGAGCTATGGGGCTTAGATTGTTTGAGATGAGTACTCCTATGTCCTTGACAAAGTGAGGGTCATCTACGAGATCATTTCCGTCCAACTTCTGTTCGGTGTTCTGATTATTATTATTTTTTGCCAGTGTGTAAGACATAGCATTTATTAGTTGAGATTTGGAGTTGCCAAATGTGTGACCATTCTGACACAAGGTCACTTTGGAGGGCAGCAGCTTTGTCAGTGGTGTTAAATAATTTTACGTCCTCAGCAAAGGAGACACAGCTGCTTTTAATATGATCGCAGAGGTCATTGATGTAAAGCAGAAAGAGTGTGAGTCCTAAAACACTGCCTTGGAGGACACCGCTGTTAATTGGTGCCGGATTTGATAGGGCCCTCCCTATTTTGACTATTGTTGCCTGTTGGACAGGAACGTGCCAATCCACTTGTGGAGGGATCCGGAGATGCCGTAAAAACTTAATTTCAACATTAATTTCAACAGTAGTTTGTCATGCACCACTGAATCAAAGGCTTTACAGAAGTCTATGTCAATTGCATCTATTGTTTTATCCTGGTCAAGATGTGTAGTCCAAATGTTTCTACAGTGTAGGAGTCACAGATTACAGGACAATTTTTTTCTAAAACCAAACTGCTTGTTAGATAGCAAGTTGTTTGTCTCTAAGTGGACGGTGATGGATTGGTTTATAATTGAATCCATAACTTTACAGATGATACAACACAGTGAGCTTGGTCTGTAATTTTCTACTAGACTAGGGCCTCCCTTTTTAAAGGTAGGTATAACCATGGCTAATGACCATAGGTCGGGCAAGGAGCTGGTTCTGAAGGATACCTCATAGATTGTGCATTGAGGTTCAGCTAGGGCAGTGGCAAGCTTTTTCAAAAAGTAGGCACAGGGCCTATAGATAGAGCTGACTTTAGGTTACGTAGTGCTTTTTCAACATTATCTACTGTAAAATCAATATGTAGTAAATTGTTTATATGACCAAGGTCATAATCAGGGACTCTATAACAGCAAGAAGCGAACTGTGGTATTTAGGGACAGTTCACAGACAATGGTCTTAGGAAGAGCAAGCTTCTGTGTAACATTTACCTTTTTCAGACCTAGTGACATTTTATAGAAGATAGCAACATCCCCACCTTAGATTATCACAGTCAGACCAGAAAACATGATAGTCACTTACTGTAATAATGGAGTCTGGAAAGGATACATTCAACCATGTCTTGCAGACAAAAAGGTCTAATAGGGCCGCATTTAGAAGCAGGAGGAATTCAGGCATTTTGCTTGTGAGGCTTCTTGCATTAAGTAGCTTGCATTTTAGGCCTGTAGGGGTGGACCTGGAGGAAGTTGGGGGCATGCATGCCTAGTTTTGGTTGTTGGGGTGGTGGTTGTTGGGACAGTCAGTGTCAGTAGACTATGTACAGGTCAGTGTCTCTTTGGTCCTGCCGTGTTTTGAGCTCCGAGCGGAGCTCGCGGATGCGGGCACGTTGCAGTATGGACAGATTGGGCCACTAACGAAGTTTCCTATGGTTTGTGCAGCTTTTGGCGAGTGAGTTTATTGAAATTAAATGAATTTGAATTTGCTGGTTTCAGTCTTGCAAACAATTCAGCAGAAACGTGGGGCCACATGTTCTTGAACTTGGGTCCGCCGCAGGAAACATTGATGATTTCATCGGGAGTGATGGTTGATGCCTGGAAGTTGTTGATGATGTTGCAAACCTTTGTGATGTCATCGGATTCATTGGTGTCATCCAGTCCAAATAAGATAGCATTGCGACAGTTCAGTTTGCATTCAATCATGTCTTTGACAAGAATGGAGATGTTACTAGCAGGATTAGGGATTTCCCATGGCTTGGTTGTTGTGCTGTGTCATGATTTCAGCATACTGTTGCTTCACTTTTCTGTGTTTTATCCTTTTCTTCAAGGGATGCTAGACACGCTTCCAAAGTATCCACCCGTTCAAGCAAAACAATAAATTTGTCAAAGTCTGGGCTTGCAGGATGGGCAGAATAGTGGAAATGCAAACTGGGAGGTTTTTAGTGATGTTGATTGAAGAAACTGGGCTACACCTTTGATTAAATATACACACGTACACACACACACACACCCCTTGAATATTACATATGTCAGCTTGGGCAATGGCCTGCTGGGTCACTTCCTGTCACAACTAATACATCAATAATTGATTGATGATCTGAAAAAAGAAAAAAGCAGCCCCTGCACTTGATGGAAAGGACTAGCAATATTTTTTTTTACTATTATGTCTTTTTTAAACACTTATTTCCATCAACTTTATTAGAAGACATGGGGAGACATAAGCAACTCAGATTGTTTGGCAGATTAATTATCTCGATCACAAGCAGGGAAGTGTCTACCAATCCAAATCATCCACTCCAGATCTTAGCCAAAATGTCATCTGGAGATCATTGGGAAGGCTGATAATCAAAATGCCCATGGGAGGCAACAGCAAGGTATAGTTTTCTTAGTGAATGTCTATCTTTTTATTTAGATCACTCTGTGTATTTCCTAAATTTTATTCTCCCCCCCGCCACCCCAATCCTGTTAAAGTAACATTGTTCTTCTTTATTCAGCAACTCTCAGTTCTCAGCAGAATCAAGTCTGCAGCTGGTACAACTCTGAAATAGCATCAAAACCCAGAAATTACAGATAATTCTTGACTTATAACCATCTGTTTAGCAGTTGTTCAAAGAACTGAAAAAGGGGACTTATTTGTGGTCCTCACATTATAACTATTGCAGCATCCCCATGGTCATGTGATCAAAATTCAGGCACTTGGAAACCAGCATATATTTATGATGCATCCTCAAGGTATGTGATTGCCATTGGTGACTTCCAATAAGCAAAGTCAATGGGCGAAGCCAGATGCATTTTAACAACTGCACGTTCACTTAACAACTGCAGTGATTTGCTTGACAATCTTGGCAAAAATGGTTGTAAAATTGGGCGCAACTCATTAACAAACCCCTTGCTTAGTAATGGAAATTCACATTTCAGTTTTGGTGATAAGTTGAGGACTTATATATTAGCTGTTGAGATTGACGGATTTCTTTCTAATTTTTTAAAAGGTAAACATTAGAATTATCAAGGCAATGCCTCTCCTCAAAATGATGTGTTTGCATTTCAGCTGACCTTGCCTCAGGCCAAGTCAAGGTCAGCTCTTGCGGTGGAGAACAGGGGCATCAGATACACTCCAGGAGCCCAGTGAAGAAACCTGTCAGTTGGCAGGAGATGAGTAATATGTTACATGAAAGTGTGTGTGTCAATTCTGGCTGAGCTCAGCTGCTGTGTGCAAAATATCCCGGCTGTCAGACAACATTCTAGGAATAACTGGTCAAGAACCAGTTATCCTTTTAAGAACAGCTGAGAAGCTAAAATCACACTCAAGCCATTTGTATCAATTGCTTAAGCAGGAGAAAAGCAGGCTGCAATTTTACCTCTTCAAAATCTCCTATTTAACTGGTTTAAAAAAACATTTTTTGCAGGGGCTAAAAATGGCAATTCTGCCAATCCTCCTGGGCCAAAATTGCATATCACCATTTTTGTTCCTAGTCGGTTGATTTTAGATATATAGAATCAAATATATCAAATATATAGAATCAAAATCATGCGAAGCATTAATACCGCTCGATAAAACCTTAATAAGACCACACCTGGAATCCTGAATCCCATTTTGGTCACATTAAAAAGATGTTGAGACTTTGGAAAAAGTGAAGCGAAGAGCAACCAGGATGATTAAAGGCCTGGAGACTAAAACATATGAAGAACGGT